TTTTCGTATAGTTATGATTTTTAAAAGATAATCATGCACGATTTTAAAAGTACTGTAGTTGTAATATCTGAGTTGTAGGCCTAATACATTTATCCTACATTTTAACTTCTCTAGTAATAGAAGATGTAAATGAATATTATTCTTCTGTATGTTTTGCCATTTAAGCCTAATATTTTTATTTTCATTAAAAACAATTTTAAATTATATACCTAAACATGTTAGACAAAAGCGTCGCTAAACGAATTGAGATTTTGTGAGTTAACGCGAAATGGCGGTAGAATCTATTTTTTAAATATCATGTAAATATTCATGATTGTTCCACGTAGGATGGTTTGAGATATTCTTTATTTTCTTTTATACGAGCCGGCCCGCGGCATACCATACGCCGCTATTTATTTGTTTTATTTTCTACTTTTCAGTAATTCATAATTTGTGAATTCGACAGTACCAACGCTGCCACTGAAAATATTTCTTAAAAAAAATACTATAAGTAGCTCGTTAAGGACCATAACCCCCCCCCCCCCCCCTTACGTTTAAAATCGTTGGCTCTGCTTGTAAACATTTAGAGTGAACACAGCTCACTAAGATCATGTAGGGGTGGGGAGGTAGGGATCGCGTTTACAGCTTGTTTTCTAGCGGCTCCCAGAAGAGAATTATATATATAGATTCTGTAGAAGTTAGTAGAAGAGCTTTTCTAAGTATTTTTTGTCTCTTTCAATTGCATATGTAAAATATTTGCATGTCTTCAAATCCTAATGAATTCAGATTTGTTTATTTTTTGGATGTTTATGCTTGTATTCAAGCTTCAGTGGCTTAGATTATACTGAGTCAACTAATACAAAGACTAACGTGAATAAATTCTTATGCTAAATCCCCATGACTATTTTTTTCATTAGCATTTGTTTACTTATTGTTCTTTTCACATACACACACAAATATACATTTCAGCTGGGAGCACGCTCAGCCTTAATCCGCCCCTGGAAGAGATGCCTGGGAGAAATTCTCTAACGTAACTTTTACCATAACCAAACCCTGACCCTAACTCCGACCCCAAAATCCTAGGTTTAGAGTTTGTAAGTACTTTTGGCAAATAAAAATAAAAGTGGTTTGAACTTGAGGTGAAACAGCCTACCAAATAAGAGTCAAACCGCTGTAACTTGAGGTGAAACAGCCTACCAAATAAGAGTCAAACCGATGTAAACACAAAATTCAACACTAAAAGTCTCAAAGATAATTAAATTACTTTCATCTTGTTTAATTTTTTGCCACATTTGTCATTGTTTAATAGAATAAGCTTTCTCCTTTGCCCTTCCAAACAAGAATAATTAGCTTTATTCATTTGACATTGTAAACAAGAATAATTAGCTTTATTCATTTGACATTTTAAACGAGAATAATTAGCTTTATACATTTGACATTGTAAACGAGAATAATTAACTTAATACATTTGACATTGTAAACGAGAATAATTAGCTTTATACACTTGACATTGTAAACAAGAATAATTAACTTAATACATTTGACATTGTGAGGAAACAAAAAAATGAGATCACAATGTCTAGAAATTAATATTTTCTCCCATGGGTCTGATGTCATGTTGACCAATGGGTTTAGTCTGATGTCATGTTGACCAGTGGGCTAGTCTGATGTCATATTGACCAGTGGGTTTAGTCTGATGTCATGTTGACCAGTGGGTTTAGTCTGATGTCATGTTGACCAATGGGTTTAGTCTGATGTCATTTTGACCAGTGGGCTTTGTCTGATGTCATATTGACCAGTGGGCTAGTCTGATGTCATTTTGACCAGTGGGTTTTGTCTGATGTCATTTTGACCAGTGGGCTTTGTCTGATGTCATATTGACCAGTGGGTTTAGTCTGATGTCATGTTGACCAGTGGGTTTAGTTTGATGTCATGTTGACCAGTGGGCTAGTCTGATGTCATTTTGACCAGTGGGTTTAGTCTGATGTCATGTTGACCAGTGGGTTTAGTCTGATGTCATGTTGACCAGTGGGCTAGTCTGATGTCATTTTGACCAGTGGGCTTTGTCTGATGTCATATTGACCAGTGGGTTTAGTCTGATGTCATTTTGACCAGTGGGCTAGTCTGATGTCATTTTGACCAGTGGGCTTTGTCTGATGTCATATTGACCAGTGGGTTTAGTCTGATGTCATGTTGACCAGTGGGCTAGTCTGATGTCATTTTGACCAGTGGGCTTTGTCTGATGTCATATTGACCAGTGGGTTCAGTCTGATGTCATGTTGACCAGTGGGTTTAGTCTGATGTCATGTTGACCAGTGGGCTAGTCTGATGTCATTTTGACCAGTGGGCTTTGTCTGATGTCATATTGACCAGTGGGTTTAGTCTGATGTCATGTTGACCAGTGGGTTCAGTCTGATGTCATGTTGACCAGTGGGTTTAGTCTGATGTCATTTTGACCAGTGGGCTTTGTCTGATGTCATGTTGACCAGTGGGCTAGTCTGATGTCATGTTGACCAGTGGGCTAGTCTGATGTCATATTGACCAGTGGGTTTAGTCTGATGTCATGTTGACCAGTGGGCTAGTCTGATGTCATATTGACCAGTGGGTTCAGTCTGATGTCATATTGACCAGTGGGTTCAGTCTGATGTCATGTTGACCAGTGGGCTAGTCTGATGTCATATTGACCAGTGGGTTTAGTCTGATGTCATGTTGACCAGTGTCTTTTAATCTCTCTCCTGTTGACTGGTGAACTAAATATGCCTATCATATTGATGTGTAGGCTCTGTCTGATCCTATTGACCAGTGATTAAGGTTTGTCCAAACCAAATATGCTATCTATCAACTCCTGTGTCAAGTCCAAACGCTTGTTTTGCGCTTTCATATGTGGCGAATGAAATAGCTACAGTAGGCATAATTCTGATATAATTAATGCTCATCCCACGATACAATCCTCTTACAACACCATTTTCTTGATATACATCAACCATTACTCGGAGCCAGCTCCTAAAATAAATTAATGACACTGAATTATGTCAAATTTGATTTAGCTAGAAACTTCTTTTTATAATGGCGTTATTGAATCTAAGGTTTAACTAAAACTTTTGTTTCGAAAAACTTCCAGATTTGGTTTTTGTGAAATACAAACACATAGATTAAACAAATAGGTCTAAGAAAAGTAAAAAAAAAGTTAAAACAACACAAAGTATTTGAAAATAATAGAAAGCAATATAACAAAGATTGTAATATAACAAAGAATGACACAAAGTAATATAACAATAAATGAGACAACAAATGACAAAGTCCTAAGCCAACTCTTAGTGCTATAACAATAAATGACACAAAATGTTGTTCTAACAAACCTTTGATAATGCACCAAAGCTTCTGGGGAAGTTTTCACCATCCCAGACAACTGCATTCTCCTTCTGACAACATCAAGGGGGTACCTAGGAACATCAGATGCTTTTTTTTTACGTCTCAGAATTTAATTTTCATGGAAAAACATTATTTATTTTTTATGGGCTATAGAAATAGCATTTAAACTTCAATTGAAGAACAACTTAAAATATCCTAAAAGTGAATTCAATCCATAGTTGCACGTATTGCAAATGAGCATTTGAAAAGAACTGAAGTAATTAAATTATCAGCAACACTTTGACCACACCGTGTTGACCAACAACAAATATACTTTCTGTTTGCCATGCACACAATACTATTAAAGACATGCGTTGACTAATTTTAAATCAAGATGACATAGCTTTCCTTACGAAATGGTTTGAGCAATAGCACCAGCCAAGCCTCCACACACAAGTTTAGCAGGTAAAATAAGGACCAGACCCCCAGTGTTTTGTGGACAAGGTTTACTTAACAACTCAGGAAATGTGTCGAGGGCAAAGTTTTTTAGAATTTCAAAGCTGCTAAATGAGAGACCTGAAAATAAACCAACATTACTTCATTTTATGCACAAGAAAAACTTTTATGATGATAGTATGAGTTGTTTGCATAAAAAACGTGCACACATACATAATATATATATATATATATATATATATATATATATATATATATATATATATATATATATATATATATATATATACACACACACAATATATATTTATTTATTTATCTTTCTGTAAATTTTGTAAATAAAAAAGTGACAAAAAAAAAGGAATTAAGTTAAAAAAAACAACAACAAACAAAATATAATTAGGGTAAAGAAGGCAACATAGAGTTAGGGTTAAAAAATATAATTAGGGTTGGGAAGACAAATTAGAACATTCCACATACTGTTTTGAAGAGGAATATCACAGTTGTGAATGCCAATACACATTTACTATTCCATGCACTATCTAGGGCCTTATTATTCTAATTTTTCTAAATTGAAATGGACAAAGTTCAACTTTAGTTGTTTAATATTAAATATCTAGATAAATATAATTTCAAGCAATTGGACAGGTTTAACCCTGACACTAATTGCTCACTTTTAATATTGTATATGACAGAGAAACAAAAGCTGGGTAGATGACTTTAAAAAGACAGTTGGCGATTAGATGACTCTATCATCAGAGAGTTAGATGATAGCATACCAGCATAGTTAGATGATAGCATACCAACATATAGTTAGATGATAGCATACCAACATATAGTTAGATGATAGCATACCAACATATAGTTAGATGATAGCATACCAACATATAGTTAGATGATAGCATACCAACATATAGTTAGATGATAGCATACCAACATAGTTAGATGATAGCATACCAACATATAGTTAGATGATAGCATACCAACATATAGTTAGATGATAGCATACCAGCATATAGTTAGATGATAGCATATCAACAAAGTTAGATGATAGCATACCAACATAGTTAGATGATAGCCTACCAACATAGTTAGATGATAGCATACCAGCATAGTTAGATGATAGCATACCAACATATAGTTAGATGATAGCATACTATCATATGGTTATATGATAGCATACTATCATATGGTTAGTTGATAGCCTACCAGCATATGGGGCCATACCAAGAATAGTTGGCACTATTCCCTGGTAAAGCCCTCTAGTACCTCCTTCAAAATGACGAATGGACTGTATTGTGTGAAGAATACCCTGATAAATGGCCTCTCCTTTCACTTGAAATGCTAGCCTTGCCCTGATCATGTCCAATGGGTAGGTGATCAATACAGCTGTTAGACCTAAGCTTACAAAAAGTGCAGACAAAAGTTAAGGGCAATGTATACAAAACAATATTCTTTATATATATATATATATATATATATATATATATATATATATATATATATATATATATATATATATATATATATATATATAGTCTGCATGTTTTTTATACACAAACTCATACTATCATCATGAAACTTGGGGAGGTTGTTGAGAACTAAAAAATTTCATGTAATTTGTTATCTCTAGCTCTAATTAATAAAGTTCCTTTCTTGAGTCTGTACAATGTCCCATGAGTCCTCCCATCTTCAGATTGGCTTAAGCTAATGAAAAATTACCAACAGATACATTTTTAGAATAGTGTTTACGAGATCCTTTTGAAACACAAAAGTTAAAGCAAACAGAATGAAAAGATTTTTAGTCATATTATAGTGATGTTTTAAGTTCAAATTGTTCAGTGTAAACATAAAATTAAACTTAAATAAAAGTATTAATTATAAAAAACTTATTTTTAAGCATCTGAAATTATTTTTAAGAAAATCCTGTAAGCCTGAGAGTTTCATTATTTTATGAACTTGAATAAAATTGTAAAACCTTCCCACGATCTAGCTGTAAGCACCCACTAACTTTGCTAGATAATATTTCTTGTTGGATTAACCAGTGTGATGACATAAGTTAAGCTAGTTACAAATAGATCAAACAGAAAGGAGAAAATGTACTGAGGTCAAGCATATGAGTTAGGTAGATTAGCTAGAATAGGTAGATTAGCTAGAATAGGTAGATTAGCTAGAATAGGTAGATTAGCTAGAATAGGTAGATTAGCTAGAATAGGTAGATTAGCTAGAATAGGTAGATTAGCTAGAATAGGCAGATTAGCTAGAATAGGTAGATTAGCTAGAATAGGTAGGAACCAATGAGTTGGAAGGTGAAGACTGGTCACGTGAGATGATCAGCTGACTAAGTGTCAGTAGTTAGCAGTGGGGCACTGAACATATAGGACGTAGATAGTGCAGTTAGCAGTTGTTCAGAGTTAGAGCAGTTGGTCAAAGATAGCAGAGTTGATGGGTTGAGCATTTAGGAGAAAGTTGAGTGTTCAAAGCAGTTGAACATAGATATTGTTAGGACTAGGAGAAAGTTGAGTGTTAAAAGCAGTTGAACATAGATATTGTTAGGACTAGGAGAAAGTAGAAGTGTAAGACAAAAGAGTAAGTGTTAGAAATTGATGGATTGTGAATGTTAATCAGAGGCGTATTCAGGTTTTCCGTGTAGGAGAAGCAAAAATAGCAACAAAAAAAAAAGGCGCAGAATTTTTAATGTTATATATACACATGTATATACATAAACATATATATATACATATTTATATATAAAATTTAGGGCGTAGTCGGTTTTTGCCATCCTCATATGCAAACATTCTATGTAAACACATTTGATAACAATTTTGTTTTATGCTGTAATCTAAAACTTTTATTAGAAATACAATACTCTTTTTCGTCAAGGTTTCATTTTAGCAAAATTGTCAATTACGTCTATTAAATCAACATCAGAAGCTAATTGCCGTTTAATTGTAATCAGGCTAAGCTGGACAACCTGTCTTCTGTCATAGTAGAACGGATGTATGTTTTCAGGAGTTTAAGACGGCTGAAGGATCTTTCTGCTCCGGCACTGCTTAGTGATGGCAAAGTCAGAAATATAAGACACAACTAGACAGGTTTGGATACATGGAACACAAAGTCATTAGCGATCATGAATTTCAGAATGCTGCTAATTGTCACAGCTATTTTCGAAACAAATGCAAACGATACAACAGTTGAGCGTATAATTAACAGTGTTAGTTTAAGTTTAGTTGTTTCTATAATTCAAAATATAGCCTTATTCAAATTTAATATAGATCTAGATAACTAAAATAATAATGATTATATAAAGTTGCTACTGTTTTATATAATTTGTAATCGTAATCAGTATCACCCAAAATGTCATAATTATACTACTTCAACGTGATGATGATGTTGACCGTGTCAACATTTTCCCACCACTACACAGTTCGCCCATATGTAAATTTAAATAGAGGTGCCAAGTTGTATCTGTGTCTGTACTGTAATTTTAAAAAATTAATTACACAATTCAAACTGTATTATTTGTGAAGATTTAATTATTCTTAAGCAAATACATTATATAGTTGCCTTAAACTTAACACCCCTCTTGTCAAGTGGTACTACCCGTAGAGGTTTTTTAAACATTGCTATGCATTGTAATGTTTATTTTCAGAATGACAATCTGATACTGCTGTTATTATGTGTTGCAAACATAGACACAACTAGTCTAGAAGTATTAAATGCTTAATTGCTGCATGAAAAGAAATCTTGTGATTTACATAGATGTGCCGACCAAAAATAATTTTGTAACAAATATCATTGTTTAAAACTTTGAGTTTAAAAAGTTTCTAAAAGGCGCCACTTTGCTGAAAATGGCCAGAGGGGGAGAGGCTGCTCTCCCCCCCCCTAACCCTAACACCCCCCCCCCCCCCCCCCGCATACGCTACTGATGTTAATAAACAAAGAAATTTGAACTGTGTCAGTTGTGTCATTTATATTTCACACTGGAGAATTCTGTACAGGATTCACACAAGTTAAGTAGGATCAATCCCCTATATATTCACATTATGGTGAATATAATTAGATATATATAAACACCATGGTGAATATAATTAGATATATATAAACACCATCTCAACATCCTCTCACACCACACCCAACCAGTTACTTCAGTGAATGACTTACCTAACCAGTTACTCCAGAGAATGACTTACCTAAGCAGTTACTTCAGTGAATGACTTACCTAACCAGTTACTCCAGAGAATGACTTACCTAACCAGTTACTCCAGTGAATGACTTACCTAACCAGTTACTCCAGAGAATGACTTACCTAACCAGTTACTCCAGTGAATGACTTACCTAACCAGTTACTCCAGTGAATGACTTACCTAACCAGTTACTCCAGTGAATGACTTACCTAACCAGTTACTCCAGTGAATGACCAACCAAACTCTAAGCAGTGTGTAGAAAATATCGAATACTTACCTGCCAGAGATCCACATATTAACTTGCATAAGTTTGGAGACTGATTGGCAATGGGAACATATTTAGCCATCTAAAAGATAGAAACATATTATTAATCTGACATATATTTAAATAAATGTGAACTAATTACTTTAGTAACAAAAAACAAACATAGAGCTGAAATTTTTTTTCTCATTTCAACTGTTTTTTTTAAAAAGGCTTCTAGTGTTGGTGTCAGGTGTATAGCTAGAGCTGTATAGCTAGAGCTTATGGCTGTATGGCTAGAGCCTATGGCTGTATGGCTAGAGCTTATGGCTGTATGGCTAGAGCCTATGGCTGTATAGCTAGAGCCTATGGCTGTATGGCTAGAGCTTATGGCTGTATAGCTAGAGCTTATGGCTGTATAGCTAGAGCTTATGGCTGTATAGCTACAGCTTAATGTAATAACAGTTTCCATTTGTCCCCTGCCACAGTTATGTCAACACAGATCAGAGACCCCCAAGTTGTTGCTCATTTAAAAGAAACTACAAGTGCAATTTTGTTTTTCAGTTCAGTATATTCTTTCTCAGTTTTCAATGTCAGCCTTTTTAAAATAAAACATTTAGATCTATATATAACCAGATTTTATATTTTAAAAATATTATATAACTTATTTTACTTTTTTAAACTGCTCATAACTCAAAAACTGAATAGCCGCATAAGGAAAAATTCTCAACATCTGCACTCCATTTCCTTGATAGAGACCTTTAAAGCCTTCCCTTGAGATGACATGGCTTAGTGTTGAAAAGACACCTAAACAAAAGATTAATTTTTAAAAGTTGCTATTCGACTTGATCAACTAAGCCCAAGGACACAATTAAATAAAAGCCTACCCAAATGTTTGTAGTGCTGGTTATGGGCTTGAAGTAGAATCTTTACTCTGTCCAAAGGAGCCACAGCTGTTTTAGCAAAAATTCCAGCTAAACCTTTTTTTTAAAAAATGTTATGGTTTATTATGATGCACTTTGGGAAAAATTGACACCATAAGTCAATAATATTGCATGACAAATGCTAGGGTTAGTTATCAAAGTTTTTTTAATAAATGTAAATGTACCAAGAATGCTAATAATAAAATCAAACATTGCTAAATTTACCTCCAGAAATAAAGGTTTTGACTGCTACAACTGCTTTGCTGTCTTTTGACTCATTCAGATGAGCCATTTTTGTAAATCAAGTTGCACTTGCCACTTTAAGATATAGAAAGTATTGTATTTTTCCAATGGCATTCTAAGTGTCCCAGATCTTTAAAATTAATCCTGAAATTTATTTTGAATTAAAATAAAGGCAGTGAATAGAATTGTTTTAAAAAAACTTGAAAAGGTATTGTTCTGACGGTGCAGATGATAGAACTAGTGGCTGCAGCAGATAATAGTTCAAATACGTCAGCACGACATAATAATGAAAAGTGCCAGAGTGAGATAACACAAGTTACATTCGTGCATTGATTATGTGTTAATGTGCTGTGACTAACGTACTTTTTATTTCTATACTAGCGTACCCGTCCCCCCGCGTTGCCGCAGGGATATAAGAAAATCTGATGAAATATATAAGACGTTCTAAACCGCGTGACCTTGTTTTCTAAAACTGAGTTATTTAAATGTAAACAATGCCAAGGCTTGGATCATAAATATAAGGAGACGTGTTTACCTACAATACCAACACTACCACATGAAAACCTTAAGTTATTCACTCACCAAAATAATGAAGTAGAACACACTTCGGTGACCGCCCATGTGTCAGGGACGTAGAGGGGCTCTCTCGGGATCCCCTGTTTACACTAACGCAAAGGCACAGCGTACGGCTAACCTAACCCTAACCCCTGGCTACAACTAACATAGGCGCCATAGTGCTCACAGAATAACCCAGAGCGCCAAATAGCATTTGGAAACAATGATGCAGATTGCGTCAATCGCTTAAGTGACACAAATCAACAGGATTTTTCCTTTAACACATAGAAAAAAGAACATTTGACGTATTATAAACATCATTTTGGCTGATGCTATTTGTAAAGCATTACTAATGGTGTATTGTTAGAAACTCGATCTCTATTTCTGATTGGATCATTTAAAAATAGATGCTAATTGCAAGTTTAACGGCAATCAGGTGAACGGTGAAAAACTCCAATTAACTTTTATTTTTATATACCGTATATAGAGAAAAATCGCACCCTCCCGTGGCACCGCCCCTGCGAGATTAAAAATTATTTTTTACGGAACCCTTTCCCAGAGTGTTCTTATGAACTCCCCAAAGTGTCATGGCGATCGGATGAATGGTGTCAAACCAAAATCGACTTTTTTTTATATACCGTACATATAGAAAAATCAACCCCTCCAGGGGCGCCGTCCTTGCAAATTCAAAAGATATTTTTTAAAATAAACCTCCCCTGGGGTGTTCTAATCAACTCCATAGAGTTTCATTGCGATGGGATGAACTGCGTCAAACTTCTATCGACTTTTATTTTTTATATACCGTACATAGAGAAAAAACAAATCGCGGCCTGCCGGGGCGCTACCCCTGTGAATTAAAAAAAAAATTTCCGCATAAACCTCCCCAGGAATATTCACAATAACTTCCCGAAGTTTCACGCCAATGTGATGAGAGGTGTAGTAATGCATAAAAGACAGACAGACAGACTTACATTGCTTTAAATAAATAAATATATATATATATATATATATATATATATATATATATATATATATATATATATAGACAGACAGACAGACAGACAGACAGACAGACAGACAGACAGACAGACAGACAGACAGACAGACAGACAGACAGACAGACAGACAGACAGATAGATAGATAGATAGATTGTGGTACAGTAATCAACTTGTGACTGTTGTTATGGTACATCGTGTGATTTCTCTCTTAATATTTTAATCCCTTCATACTAACCATGTCGAGCAAACACAGAAAGTGGTCGGCAAATATGTCAAATATGAATTTACATGTATAATGGATGGTACTTGATGAGAGGCAGTGTCCTAACTGCATGATTTGCAATGCAGAGTTGTGCAAATCTAATCTAGCCCCTGGAAAACTAAGAGAACACTTTGTTAAGCTATAGAAATAAAAAGTATGCTCATCACAGTACTTATATACACGATCAATGCATATAGGTGGCGTTGATCAAAGTAGATCTAGTACGGTTTTGTAATAAAATAATAAAAAATAAAATTCTCATGCTACTATCTAAAAAGGGGGTATGGGTAGGGAGTAGAGCTTACCAAATACCCTACTAGTACTAAGTAACAAATAATAGTATTGAGTCAGATCTAATTCTAAACGGTAATCTATCGTTTTAAGTTTTAGCGTAATCAATTCGGCAGCAGTAGTTATGTGTGGGACAGGTAACTGATGAATATATGTGTTTTAATAAGTATATTTATGTCAAATTTTACAAAATATAACAGCTAATTGATTGAAAATAACAATCAATGACCAAAACAATTTAAAATTCCATGAAACTAACTTTAAACAAGGTGTTTGAGATAAAAATGTGTAACTAAAAACAGCGGCCATCTTTCCAAAAAAAAAATTAGAGTAGTTTCCCTTGATAAAAATGTCTATTCGTATGTATATTGTGTTGACTTTGGTGTTTAATATACATCATAACTGTCATAACTGTAGACAATGGCCAGATTTAAGTGCCATTCATAGACCAAACACAACTTGCCAGTTGGGACATGTTGTTTTTGTATGGAGTGTGACACGGGGGTCGGGGTGGGCTGTCAAAAAGTTATTTCGAGTGTGTTATGATGGATGATTTTTTGTACTGACCATTAGAGTATCGGGTAGCAGGAGACGGGGGGGGGGGGGGGGGGGAAGGGAAGGCAGGTGATCATTTATGGGTGATCTGTTTAAGCCTAGCTGTTTATTTTGTCTGTAGACATTAGTCTAAGGCCTACACTTTTTCTGAGTTAAGGTTATTGTGTTTATGAAAATATGGTTTAATTAGTTATGTATCTGAATACTACATGTTTTTTTTTTTGTTTTGTTTGCTTCCTGCTTTCATCATTTTCAATTTGTTCAGTGGTCGATGTTTACCTCTCCCCATCATCAATTATTATAACAACAAAAACACCCACTATATAATGAGATGTCCCTCTAAAAAATAATCTAGATTGACCTATATCTCTTATTCATCTGATTAAAAAAAATACGTCATTTTTCTCAACCAAGCTGTTTCAACCCCCACTAAGCACAAGGTCAACAAATTTGCGGTGCACATGACATCATTTGTCATTAGGCTAATGATAAAGAAAGAGATACAGCGTAATAAAAAAAAATCAAAACAGGCACTATATCACTATGGCGATGAGACTTTAGCAACGTTTAGCCTGACAAATAGATCTAAATGACTTTAGTTTGGGGAATTATATTGATGTTTAATTTATTACATTGGCATGCTGTTTTCCTTTTTCCATACTAATTGACGTGTTTTAATTTCTGCAACCTGCTGCCCTTAGACGTTCGGCTCTAAAATGCCAGTGACACAGCGGCTTCAATAAATGCATTTAGGCTCCCAGTCCCAACTATAAACTTAGTCTGTCCCTTAAGCGCCGCACGAAACTTGTGATTATGATGTGGACAGAAGGCCCCCCCCCCCCCAGCTCCCCTCTTAAAGGTGCTCCGCACTTCATAAAAGACATAATTGATGTTCAGATATCGTCGGACTCTGGCATTTTGCAGATGGCCGTATTCATAATGCACAGTCTTAGAGGCTGTCCACTGCTAACACTATTTTATATTAAACTCAAGCCTATTCTGAGCTCTAGCTTTACATTAGCTGCTGTCGTATTACGAGTCGATCTTTTGTTATGCCCCATGTTGCGAAACTTGCTGTTTTGTCCAATTTTACCTGCAAGCCAATAATTATCTTGGACTCTTGCCAGGAGCTACTTGGTTTGAGCCTTATTATCAGAAGTTATTTCATTTGAAGTCAATAGTGCGGCCTATTTACGTCGGTAAGCATTTAGTGGCAGGCCTTTTTTTGTGGGAATGATGGGCTGAGGTAGTTTAACACCTCTCAAGACAACAGGCTTGCAAATTTGTTATGAGCAAAGGTATGCATGAAAACTAACGCTTTATGTTCGCTTTATGTTCCTCATTTTCATTGAGCATAGCATTATAGAAGTCTTCCATAATTGACGTCATGCATTCCCCCCCCCCCCCCCAACACACCTTTATTATAGGTCATAAATTGCGGTTCTGCGCAAGTTGACGTCACATTAGCATATCATATGTGACATCGCTTAAGGACAACCCCATATCAATCATTTTGGGTATTTGGTATCAACATTTTGATAGGAATAGTTATTCAAAATGTGTATGAAAGGTTAGGACTTGAGATCTACCATAAATGACATCACGCACTTAAGGGGTGGAGTAACTGGTTTTGAGACGACGTTTTATGTGGGAAGGGGGAGGGGTAAGAACACAAGAAACATTACGTATTTCGCCTAATACAAAAATGCTATTAACATACATTCTTTTTTGTTAGAAGTACGGCTTGACTTCTTAAAGACAGGGCAAAAAGGTAATTTTCGACATTACGACTATTTCGTGACTGCGAAAATGGGTGTTGGGGGGGGGGGGGAGGGGTTAAGGTGAAGAGAGGTAAAAAAAAAGTGATGTTATTTATGAGTTAAAGGAAAAAACATGAAAACATGAAATGAAAATAGAAACAAACAATAACAATAAACTCAAACTAATATTTAAATAAACATTAGATCTAGCTAGTAGTAGATCTAGTAGCGCTACAAAAATCGAGACTTCCTTAATTTATAAAAATTGCATCTCATAATAATAATTCTAGAACTGATGATGTTTATTGTTAGTCAATCATATTGTTTAAAGAACAGAACTTTTTAAAAAAAAAAACGCATATTTTATATTTAAAAACAAGACAATCATATTTAATAGCAAACAGCAATACATTTTTATACAAATAGAAATTAAAGGAAAATGACTCAAAATAATATTTACGTAAGATGGCTGCTGTTTTTAATAGCAAATTTAGTATCTGGAACATCATTGTCAAACGTTAATTTCAGGACATTTTTTACTAAATTACTAGTGCCGGTCGAATTGATTTTGCTAAAACGATAAATTACCATTCTAAACTTTACTTAGTAAACTAGTAGGGCTAAGTAGGGCCTAGATCTAAGTAAAATACTCTAATAATAAAATAAATATCTACCACTACAGCCTACCAGACCTACCGACGAACCTATCTACAAAATGATTAGGCCTAGGGCTTAGATCTTCTAGATCTAGATCTAGATCGAGTCACCAATCACTAGCCTAATTTAGTAGGCCTAATTTTTTACTAGGCCTAATAAATAATAAAACTTGGTATTTTACGTGTAGGCCTAGATCTAGACTTCTCTAGTCCACTCTGACTCTAGATCTACTCAAGTCTGATCTAGCGAATGTAGTTTCAATGTAGATCTCTAGATCTAGTAGTATGTTAAGTTACTGTGTGTACTGTGTACGACTAGGGTTGAGATCCTGATGTGTTAGTTATAAAATAGATGTGGTTTAGAGCCAGACTTAGACATACTGATGAAGATAGGACTAGCTAGATCTATATAAAATATGTAGAGATCTATATTCAAGTAGATCTAGATCTAGATCTATATTTTATTATTTATTAGGGTTATATTTAATTATATTATGATAAATATTCATAGACTTCTAGATTCCATATCACCGGGCAAGGAAAACTTTTCGGGTTTCTAACAGAAAAGAATCCAGTTTTTTTAGGATTAACAAAAATAAAACGAGAGCTATCTCCCCTAAACTTACTCGCGTTTTCAGAAATAGGCTAACACTACGGGGGATGGCAACTACGGATATAGACATGATTTTAATCCATTTTTAATTAGCCTTCTTAAACTTAAAAAAAACATGCATAAAAACGTTTTAATAACAAGCTTTTATGTAATAATGCACTAAAAAGTAGAAAATAAATTATACACTACTAGGCCAATTTAAATAACTATAAAGAAAAGCGTAGGTCACCTTCGTACCTATTGGATACTATTACTAATATTTAGGAAGAGACACACGCATTTCTTTATAGTTATTTAAATAGTAGTGTGTAATTTATTTTCTACTTTTTAGTGCATTATTACTTAAAAGCTTGTTATTAAAACGTTTTTTATGATTTTTTTTTCAGTACTTTAAATTTTTTTGTTTACAACTAGCGTACCCGTCCCTGCGCGTTGCCGCAGGAATAGAAGAAAGTCTGTCGAAATATATAAGAAGGGTTTCATCAATGCGGTACCAATCATATATTCTTAGACGCCTGACCTTGTTTTCTAAAACTGAGTTATTTAAATAAAAACAATGCCTGCGCTTGAATTATTAATATCGGGACACGGGCTAACCTACACTACTGCATGAAAACCTTGAGTTTCTTCCAGAAATTTTTTCCCCGGGGGGGGGGGGGGGGGCTCTTGAAAAAAATTTGGGGGGGGGGGGAGGCGGTAGACTTTCTTCGGGGGGGGGGGGGCGTACACTGTTAAAAGTAAATATTTTCTATATAAAGATGCCTGGAAGAAACTCTAATAGTGAGGTAGAATATTATTCGGTGACCGCCCATGTGTCAGTGACGTAAAGGGCGCTCCCTGGAGCCCCCGATTACACTACCACAGATTACTTCCGATTACACTGCCACAGAGACGCCGCATACGGCCCCTGGCTCCTTAAAACTAACATAGGCGCCACAGTGCTCATGGTATAACTCAGAGTGACACATAGCATCCTTTAAGAATGATGCAGATTAAGCGACGCCCTTGTGAAATTAAAAAAGGATGGTTTTTTTTTACAGAAATCTCACCTGGAGTGTTCTAATCAACTCCCCAATGTTTGATGGCGATCGGATGAACGGTGTCGAACCGCAGTCGACTTTTATTTTAATATACCGTATATAAAGAAAAATCGCGCCCTGCCGGGGCGCCACCCCTGCAAAATTTGAATATTTTTTCCGCAGAAACTTTCCCAGGAATATTCTCAACAACTTCATAAAGTTTCATGGCGATCGGATGAAAGGTGTAGTAATGCGTAAAAGACAAACAGACAAACAAACAAACAGACAGATAGATAGATAGATGGATAGATGGCTACATGGATGGATGGGTGGATGGGTGGGTGGGTGGATGGATGGATGGATGGATGGATGGATGGATGGATGGATGGATGGATGGATGGATGGATGGCTGGATGGATGGATGGGAGTTGCATGACTGAAAACCATTTTAATTAATTCATAAAAAAATAATTAGGCATCCAATTAAGTCAAATTTAATGTCACATTGCATTTTCTTCATATCTTGACCAACGTGCCAACTTTGAACCGGATCTGTCCGTGAGAAATGTCCGAAATTTTGCTCGGGCGTTTCGATCTAGACAGACAGGGCGAGGAAGCAAGTTAAATAAAAGCTTAAAAGTCATAAACAACGTTTTAATAACAAGCTTTTATATAATAATGTACTAAAAAGCAGAAAATAAATAATACACTACAACTTAAATAACTATAAAGAAAAGCGTGGGTTACTTTAGTATCTATTGGATACCTTTATTAATATTTAGGTAGAGACCCACGCTCTCCTACTAAATGGTCTCTAACTAAATATTAATGTGAGAGGGTGAATGGATGATTTATTTTGTATTATTTTATTGTGTGCGAATCGGTGCGTGAACGGTCCACTGGACAGTGATTACGGGGTTTTCCATTCCGCCCGAAGCGGTCAGTATAAAAACTGACCGCTCGGATTTTTTTTCTTTTTGACCCGATGCAAGATGTAGATCGGGTCAGTTTCTCTGTGGGCGATTGGCGCACCTCGTGCGTGAAGTGAGGTTGCTTGTGCAACTTGGCTGGGTGTTTAGTACGTAGTGTTTTGTATATATTGTTTTGTCACGTTAAAGTCTGTTTTGTTTAGCGTCTGTTGATTGGGTGTCCGGCGCAGCGTTACTACTTGATTGAGCGGTCAAATTGCACGGGCGCATCAGCCGGCATCCCGGCGGTCATGTAACCCGGTGCACACTGGGCTCCCTCATGAGCACTACGGCGTCTATACTTGTTTTGATGAGCGCTATACGCAATGGATATGTCGGCATACTAAAATCAATTACAAAATCGAATATGGGGTGTCCTGCAGCGCATCAACATTAGTAACGGTTACCCTGCGGCTACCTGAGTTCACGAGATCCGTTGATTGGGCGTCCTGAAAAGTCAGGGGTACTGGTTGATTCAACAGTCAAACTGCAACAGTGGCGGCTTTTGACGCCCTCGGCGTACACATGACACCAATCGCACAAGTATTCTACAATAGGGACAGAGGTTGCATCTGGCTACCAAAGGTAGTGTAAGCAGTCACTCCCGCGACGCCACTGACACCTAGGCGGTCGCCAAAAGGTATTCAACTTCACTATTACGGAAGATAATTAACACACTCAATGCTTTCACACAGCGTTGGAGCGGTAGTGTTGACCAACCCGCGCCCCCACAACAAAGATCCAAAAAAAATAGCAGTGGCGTTGTTTAAATTTTAGCTAAACCTATCTCACTTTTAGAAAACTAGGTCACACGACTAAAAATACACAATTGGTAACGCGTTGATGTAACCCTTACAAATTGTTTTGTTACCCTGGTATGTAGGACTATGTAACATATTGGGATTTGTGAGGTCTGGGGAACTCACTCTTCTTGTATTAGTTATATTTATAATGTTTTTATTGAGTGATGTCCCTTGTATTTATCTATCATTCTTCCTCTTCCGTTTACGAATAAAGATGGCTACATGCTGATGGCTTCTGTCTCCGTTGTTGAATACCTAATCTATTATATCTGGCGACGAGGATAAATAATCTACTAGAAAGAGCACCTACTTACGCAAAAAAGAGGTTTGCTAGAGCATATTGGCTAAGTATTTCTAGAATAATGGCGCTGTATGGCCAAATAAAAGAATTTGATTCGAATGATGAAATCATTCATGATTACCTAGATAGGTTAAGCTTTTACTTTGAAGCTAACGACGTGACGATAGAAGCCAAAAAGAGAGCTGTTTTGTTAACAGTCATAGGGCCTCAACAATTTAGGCTACTAAAGGACTTATGCGCACCAGCTAGTCTAACTACCAAGAGCTTTAACGAGCTGAGCAAATTGCTAACAGACCACCATGCGCCTACCCCATCAAAGTTTCTATGTCGAGCTAGATTTGACAGTAGGACTCGTCAACCAAACGAGTCAATATCAGAATATGTTGCTGCTTTACGTCATCTAAGTAGATTCTGTGAATTTGGAGACACGCTGTCTGACAGACTATGTGAAAAGTTTGTGACAGGTGTAAACAGCCCTGATATTCAAAGAAAGTTGCTGCTCGAGTCAGATCTAACATTAGAAAAAGCAATACAACTAGCAACTTCATTCCAGCAGTCATCAGATGCGGCGAAATCTCTTACGCCTTCAGGGATCCATGCAGTAAACAGCAGGTTAGTCAATAAACATCAACCCCATCAGAGCATTCCAACTTATGCTAAACAGCCTGCTCGTTCAAATCCTAGATCTAAATCTAGTAATAATTATCAAAAATGTCATCGATGCAAAGGTCCCCATGCATCTAATCGGTGCAAGTTCAAGTCTGCAACTTGTTATAAGTGCAGTAAGCAAGGTCACATTGCCAAGGCCTGCTTTGCAAAGTCTTCGTCTGTTGCTAAATCTAGCCAGTCAAGACAGTACCGCAACCAAAGGCAGCACTATGTTAACTCTCACCAAGACTACCTAACCCAACCAATGAACCACTCTACCTGTGAAAATGCTCAAACTGATTCGCAGCCGGATTTCAACCTGTTCTCTGTGAAATCAATAAGTCATGCTCCCATCAATGTACTAGTTAATATCAACGGTAAGAGCATCAGCTTCCAACTTGACACTGGAGCATCTCTAACAGTCATAACAAAGAAAGATTTTGACGCTGTCACAGGAGGATCAGTGCCTCTACAGCCATGTCACAAGTGTCTAACAACATACACTGGTGACAATGTTCCGGTAATAGGAGAGTGTATGGTTCATGTAAGTTATAATGGTCAAAGTGTTAAACTTCCTCTTCTTGTGGTTGAAGGAAATGGACCACCATTACTAGGTAGGAACTGGTTAGTTGATCTTAAGTTAAATTGGGAGAGTATATGTTCATTGAAGAATGTAAGAGAATCTAGTCTTACGTCAATAGATAAAGTAATATCTGAAAATAAAAGTGTTTTTGGCAATTCAGGTTTACTAAATGATAGAACAGTGAAGATAAGCATTAAAGACACAAATCCAAGATACTGCAAAGCTAGAGTTCCACCTTATGCAATGAGGAATAAAATTGAAAATGAGCTAAGTAGATTGGAATCTAATGGCATCATAAAGAAGGTAGACTATTCCGATTGGGCAACGCCCATTGTGCCAGTGTTAAAGAAGGATGGTTCTATAAGAATTTGTGGAGACTATAAAACTACACTGAATAAGCAAATAGAGCTAAATAGGTACCCTATTCCTAACATTGAGGAAATTTCTTTGAATTTGGCAGGAGGAGACAAATTCACTGAATTAGACTTTAGTCATGCTTACACTCAACTAGAACTGCATCCAGATTCAAAAGTCTATACGACAATAAACACACATAAAGGACTCTACCAATATGAAAGACTATGTTTTGGTATATCATCTAGCCCTG